GGGGCCCTCACTGCAGGAAGGACATGGAGCTCCTGGAGCATGTCCAAGGAAGGGGAAAGGAGCAGCCGAAGGGCCCAGGGAGCAAGTCGTGTGAGGAGTGCTGAGGGAGCTGGGGTTATGTAGCCTAGAGGAAAGGAGGCTTGGGGGAGACCTTATCACTGTGTACAAGGACCTCAGAGAAGGTTGTAGTGCGGTGGGGGTCAGTCCCATCTCCCAAGCAACAGGCGGTAGGAGAAGAGGAAAAAGTGGGGCCGCGGGAGGTTTAGGTGGATTTAGGTTTAGGTTTAGGCAAAAAGTCTTCAACAAAAGGGTTGTGAAGCATTGGAACAGGCTGCCCAGGGAAGTAGTTGAGTCACCATCCCTGGAGGCATTCGTAAGCCGTGCAGATCTGGTGCCGAGGGACACGGTTCAGTGGTAGATTCTATGATTCTGTACTTCTGTACTGGGCCGGGTGCCAGGCTGGCATGGCCTGCACCACTCTTTCCCCTGAGATCAACGGCACAGAGAGGAGCACTGGAGGCAAAAGTCTGCCTGAGTTTTATTCAGAGCAGAAAGCAGCCGCAGCTGAGCTGGGGCTGGGGGCAGGATGTGGTGGGGCATCTGAATTCCTGGGGCGCTGTCCTGTGCCTCGCAGTGATGCTTCCGTGGGCGCTGCAAAGCTTCCTGAGGGCCAGCTGCCAGCTCCGAGCATCCTCCTGGTACTGGCACAGCCGGGCGCGGCTACTCTCGCTGTCCTGTGATGCAGCTGCAGCGGAAAGCCCTGCGCAGCGCGCGAAGTGCCCTCCTGATGCGGGAGGGCCGTGGCTGGCGTGCCGGGGCTTGTGCGAGGTCATGGATGCCTGTGGGGGACACAGAGGTGTAGGTTAGGGCCTGAGCGGGTGCTGGGCGAGCCTGTCCCCCCCTCCAAGGCCTTTCCCCGGGAAGGGGTGGCCCAGGACCAGCCAGCCCCGCTGCGCGTGGTGCTGCCAACCTTGTGCTTGCTGCTGCTCGCTGCGCTGAACAGGCCCGGCCAACAGATCCTGGGATGGTGCTTGTGTCTGGGATGTTGCTGGCTCATCTGCTGTCGTATCTTTGGTGCAGGAGGAGGACTGCGCTTGGCCTCCCTGCTCGATGGCCACCTGCATGGGGAGAAGAACAGCATGGGCAGCTGAGGAAAGGGATGTCAGCCCTTGTGCCTGGGCCATGTGGAAATGCAGAGCGGCAGGCAGCTCCCGGCATGCATATCCCACGCACTGCTTCTGCCTGGGGCTGCCCTGGATGCCTGGTGCCCACGGCACGTGCTGTGCTTACCTGGTGCCCAGGAACCAAGGGACTGGCTGCTGCTCCTGCTTTGTCAGCTGCTGCTGGGCGGAAATCTCTGCTGGGCTCCTGGAGAGGCTCTGCAGCCAAAGGAGAAGCCCCTTCTCCACCTTCTTCTTGTGGCGCTGCTGCTGCAGCGAGAGGGGCTTCATTGGCCTCCCCCACAGGGCCTCCGGCCAAGGCAGAGGCCGAGGATGTACATTCTGCAGGCTCTGGTGTGGGAGGAGGCACCCTGGGCACTGTGACCCAGGGAGCACTTGCTGCCTTGCTTGGGGCTCCCTGGATGATGGCTACAGAGTGGAGTAGGACTGCAGCCACGATGGTGTCAACTCTTTCATCCAGCTCTTCATCAGAGACACTGCAGGCATGTCGGGCACGTCCCTGGCTCTCCACCATCACGGCAGCGCTGTGCTCACTGGGGCTTGCACAGGCTGATGGCTTCGACTGTTGAGCCCCACGTGTCAGGGGAGGTGCTCTGTGTCCCTCATCTTCCAGAGCAGGGGCTGCTGGAGGACTTGCTGGCCTGCTCTGTGCCAGTGCTGTTGTGAGAGGCGTACTGTGCCTCTCTTCCCGTGGACCTTCTTCCAGGGGAGCAGCTGATGGGGCAGTGTCCGTGGTTTGCAGCGAGCCAGGAGAGGCCTTGCTGGATGTTCTGCTTCTTGTGCTGCAGCCTCCCTGTCCACACTGCTGGCTGCGCTGCCCTCTTCCTGGGGAACGTCCTGTGGGTCTGTGAAGATGCTGGCGAACCTGGGGTTGATCCAGGAGTTGAGGATGACGATCCCCTCCTCTTCATCCCATCCCCCAGGACTGCTCTCTTTCCTGCCCCGGCCTTGGCTTGTCCCCTCGTTGCCTGTCCCCTGCCTGGGTTTGACGTGTTTCTCTCTCTGTTGTATTTTCTTCTTACCCTGGCCTGGGCTAGCTGCTGCAAGGTCTCTGCTGGAAGCCCTTGCTCCTGCGCATACCCGGGAATCAGGCCCTGGCAGAGCAGTGGTCCGCCTCCTCTCCACGTCTGTCTGGACCCCGGCTGATCTCGTTGCTCTCCCTGTGCTTCCCGTGTGTGCCAGGTCCCCCAGTGCTCCAGCCAAGGCAGATGCTGAGGATGTAGATTCTGCAGGCTCTGCTGTGGGAGGAGGCACGCTGGGTCCTGTGGCCGAGGGAGCACTTGGTGCCTTGCTCACGGCTCCCTGGCTCATGGCTACAGCACAGCGTAGGACTGTGGAAAGGTCGGTCTTGACTCCTTCATCCAGCTCTTCATCACAGGCACTGGAGGCATGTCGGGCACGTCCCTGGCTCTCAACCATCACCTCAGTGCTGTGCTCACTGGGGCTTGGAAAGGCTGATGGTTTGACTGTGGAGCCCCACGTGTCAGGGGAGGCGTCCTGTGTCCCTCATCTTCCAGAGCAGGGGCTGCTGGAGGACTTGCTGGCCTGCTCTGGGCTGCTGTTGTTGAAGTGAGAGGCGTGCTGTGCCTCTCTTCCCCAGGAATTTCTTCCTGGGGAGCAGCTGATGGTACAGTGTCCGTGGTTTGCAGCGAGCCAGGAGAGGCGCTTGCTGGGTGTTTTGCTTCTTCTGCTGCCTCCCTGTCCACACTGCTGGCTGCGCTGCCCTCTTCCTGGGGAACGTCCTGTGGGTCTGTTAAGAGGCTGGCGAACCTGGGGTTGATCCAGGAGTTGATGATGACGATCTCCTCCTCTTCATCCCATCCCCCAGGACTGCTCTCCTTCCTGCCCTGCCTTGGCTTGTCCCCTCGTTTCCTGTCCCCTGCCTGGGTTTGACGTGTTTCTCTCTCTGTTGTTTTTGCTTCTTACCCTGGCCTGGGCTAGCTGCTGCAGGGTCTCTGCTGGAAGCCCTTGCTCCTGCGCGTACCCGGGAATCAGGCCCTGGCAGAGAAGTCGTCCACGTCCTCTCCAGGTCGGTCTGGACCCCGGCTGAACTTGTTGCTCTCAATTTGCACCCCGTTTGTGCCAGGTCCCCAAGTGCTGCTGATCGTTGGCCGTGTTCCCAGTTTTTTTGTGTCTTCTCCAGCACTTCAGACACGCGGGAGTGTGCTGTGTCCCGCAGTGCCGTGCAAGAGTCTGCAGGGCTGTGTGGGGCATGGTGCCAGCTCTTCTTTAAATTCTGGGGCCCATTGCGGGCTGAGGTGGTGTTTTGTGTCCTTTGCTCGTGGGAGGTCTGCCCACGGGAGGAAGCCTTGCCTCCCTCATGGCTCCCTGGTTCCAGGCAAGGCCATTTCTTATTGCAGTGGAGACAAAGGCCTTTATTGCGTCTTCCATTTCTTCGGTAGGGGATGCAAGGCTGCTTTTGGATGAGTGCCGACTCCTCCAGTTTTGGTCCGCTGCTGTGGTGAGAGGTGGTGTTCTGGGGCCTTTGGTCCCGGGACCTCTGCCTGAGGGAGAAAGCCTTGCCTTGCTGCTGGCTCCCTCATTGCAGGCTAGAGCTTTTGTTATGACAGTGGACACGAAGGACCGTATTTCATTGCCCACGTCCTCGTCAGGGTCCACAGGGCTGTGTGGGCCACGTTCCCGCCTCTCTGCCCTCACTGCCCTGTCCCTGTTGCCAGAGATGCAGGGAAGAGGTGGCAAAAGCTCTTGCTGGCTGCGGGCCTCTGTTCCCAATGACTTTGCCCTTCCTCCCCCTGAAGAAGCAGAGGCTGCTGCTTGCAGAGGGGGCAGCTTGCAAGTGGCCCTTTCAGGCGATGATGCCTGTGCCGCAGGCACTTGCTTGGGTGCTGCTGCCTGAGTCGCTGCCTGCCTTGGCAAAGGCGGCAGGGCTGGCAGCTGGATTCTCTCGGCCTGCCTCACCCCACGGTGAGGCAGTGTCTTGATGTCTTGCGGCTTCTTCTCCATCTGCAAGAGAAGGCAAGGAGAAAGGCCAAGTTACTTGGGCCATTTCTGCCATTCCGCTCAGTGTACCCCCTAGAAGTGCTGCTGTGAGCTGCCCTGCAGCGCCCCCGGCACGCCCTGGCAGCTGCCCATGCAGAGCGGGGCTCAGCCTGCCAGGGTAATGCCCTGCCTGTCTCCTCCTGCAAGTGCTGCCTGCTCATCGCAGGCTGCCAGGGCTGCCAACGATGTTCGACCGAACCCTCCTGGGGCTCCCGACTCCGTGTGGCAGTTGCCAGTGTGACGCACGCTCTCTGGGCACGACCGCACTGGCAGCCTGTCCGCATGGAGGGACGGTGGAGGCAGCTCCTGGCTGTGCACAGCCAGGTTGAATTAGGCCACGCTGCTCTTTGTGCCTCTGGGCACAGAACTGCCAGGGCCACGTGGGCTTTGGCTGTCCTTGGGGTGGGCTCTTCATGGAGAAACCCCAGGTTTGGGAACAACTGTGTCCAGGTCGAGGGGCTCAGGGCCAGCTGGCCGGCTCGCTCCAGCACCGTTCTCCTCATCCTGGTGCTCTCCGTGCCATCCCATCACGCTGCTGTCCCTGTCTCGCTCCCTGAGCCTCACCTGGCGCCGCTCCTGCACGCTCCGCTGCCCTTCAGCGGGCTGGGAGTCATCCTTATTCTGCTGCTCCATGCTATGCTCCAGGTCCTCTGACCAAGAACTCCAACGGGCACCCAGGGGAGCTGCTGCCTCCTGACAGAGCTGCTCTCCTGAGAGTGAGTGGGCAGCCCGGGGCTCGGGCTTTATAAGGGACACCGTTGCCGTGGGTACCCCTCCGTGTCACAATGGCCTTTGGGTACGCATCACAATGCTCCGGTGGTTGCCATGGGGCCCTCAAGCCCATATTCTGGCAGACACCCCAGGGACACCGTCTCACACACCCACAGCAGGGTCTGCATTGGCAGGCACCTCTGTCTCCCTCCAGCCAGTGCCCCCGGCTCAGCCCCAGCTCAGTCTTTCTCAGGGGAGTCAGCTTAGCTCCCTAACTGCTCCCATCAAGTGCTCGTTACCTGCTCTGCCAGGAGATGCTCTGCTCGGTCGTCCGCGTAAGCTTCCTGGCTCTTTTGCCTGACTGCCCACATATCAGCAGAGACTGCACTCGAGCTTGGACGCCCATCAGGCAGCCCTGGCAGTGCAGCTGGAGCAGGAGCAGGAGCAGGAGCAGGGATTCCTCCCGTGTCCGGGCAGCCAGAGGCCTGTGGCTCTAGGCACTGTGAAGTGCTCCCAGAGAAGGCGGGCGCCAGGGAGGCGGTGGAGCTGGCAGAGAGGTGGCTTGAGGCAGGCTCTGGTGGGGCTGTGAGAGGAAAGCCCTGGGCAGCCGCAGGAAGATTCCCTGCTCCTTGCTTTAAGAGCAAGCTGTGGAGAAGCTTTCAGCAGCAGAGCCACAGCTGTGCCATGCTGCTGTTTAGCCCGCAGCTTCTCTGGCTGCTGAAGCAGGTCCTATGCTTTGAAACAGTGTTGGTAACACAAGGGCGTCTTTGCTGGAACAGGTTGCCCAGAGAGGCTGTGGCGTCTCCATCCTTGGAGATCTTCAGAAGCACAATCCTCGGAATTGTGCGTAAAGCTAGTCCTTTGGGGAGAAAGGAAGGGAATTGGAAAAACAACCCCAAAACTAGGGAAAAGGATAAAAAAGCACAGGTTAGATATTGTCCAATTGTCTGGCCTGAAAAGCCATTAAAAGGAACTTTGCTCCTTTGGCCACAACACAGGTCCGATGAAAATTCCCGCTTCAAGTTTACAGGTAAACAATAAGACTCCTTTTCCGCAGGAGGAATCAAGTTATGCTCCCTCTAACCCTAACATTGCAGCCGAGGCAGCAGGAGCTGCACCAGCAAGGAAGTATATGTGTAAGTGTATGTGCTTGAGACAAAGTATTGGATCTGCTTGAGACAAAGTATTGCTGTGAAGGGAGTGACTCCTCACTCTAGAGTAACACTTGTAACAGTAACAGTAGAAGTTGTTGTACAGCAGATACAACATGAGAATCCTGTAAGGGGATGGCCTGTCCCGAATGGCAAGGGGTAGTACTGGCTCTGCGGCAATAAATGCAGGAAGGTGCTGCCCCTTGGCTGGAAGGCAGCTTGCACCCTGGGGGCAATAATTCCACATGTACCTATTATGAAGACCCACAACGCCAAAGCCCCCCTGAGACCGCACGCAGAATTACGAGGACTCCAGATAATCCTCTAGGAAACCGAACCAGGGAATTTCACTCACTGGAGAACTAGAAAATAACACTCTGCACGCAGTCCAGGCACTACGAGAGGAGCTAAGAAGCTTCTCAGAAACAGTACTTGTGTTGGGTCTGTCTGAGCTGGAGTCAGCTTTTCCCTGCAGCAGCCCACACAGTGCTGTGCTCTGCACTCGTAGCTGGAGCAGCACTGATATCGCTCAAGTGTTGTGTCTGTTGCTGCGTAGTGCTGGCACGGCATCAGGACTCCTTCCAAGCCCCCAAGAGCCAGCAGGCTGGGGGTGGGCAAGCGATGGGGAGGGGACATTGCCAGGGCAGCTGACCTAAACCAACCAAAGGGATATTCCATAACACCTGATGTCACACTCAGCAATAAAAAGGGGGGCTCTCCTGGGGGAGGGGGCTGTTCCTCCTGAACAACCACTATGCGTTTTGAGGCCCTGCTTCCCAGGACGTGGCCGAACATCGCTCGTTGATGGGAAGTAGAGAATATTTTTTTTCCCTCTCTCTGTGCTTCCGCACTGACTTATTGTTTC